ATTAAATGATTTAATTTTAAAGTGATAATTGATAATATTAAATTAATTAACCTTAAGCACCAAGTACTATCATTTCTCACTGCACGTACGTTCGCGCCCACAAATCACAATAAATATATATATATATATATATATATATATATATATATAGTTCGTGTACTCCCTCCCTAATCCCTATAACCATTATTAATTCGATCATATCATTATATTGTGGCGGATAGATCAGCACTCATCGATCAGCTATGGACGTCGAATCATCGGCTGAACCCCAAGATTGCCGCACCGCCAAGAAGATGATTCTGAAGTTGAAGTTGAAGAAAAAGATTGAAGAAGTAGTAGTTCCTGGCCCTGGCCCTGCTGCGGTGGCGTCATCGTCATCAGAGAAGAAGAAGTTGGAAGCCACGAAGAGGAAGTTGGAGCAAAGCTACGCTGATGAAGCCGACAAGAAAGCGAAGAAGAAGATACACGTCATTCATGATTTCCCAAAAACCAAGAATAATCTCCAGTCCCAGATGAAAGCTCTTGTCTCCGACTTCGACGGTGACGTCCGAGAAAGGCTGCTTGCAAAAATGAAGAGGCTCAAGAAGAAAAATCATAACCTGAAACCAAACTACACTTTATATTCAAAAAGGCCTACATTTGATCGATCCATCCATGTAACCCAAGAACTACGTGCGGCTTGATCCCAGACAAATCTGGAGTACGTAGGCCGCCTTTAATTCGTTAAAAATTAAAGGTTCAGCTGCGATTTTAATTAATTCCTATCAAACTTGATTAAGCGGTTTGGTTTGGGTAGACCCACTGTACAGGGATTAGATGCCTAGCTCTTAAAAGATGTTGTATCACCACTATCACTATTACAGAAATTATACAGAGATTAGATGCCTTTAAATACATGGATTAGATGTTGTATCTTACCGCAGCTTCGATAACTCTTGCTATATGTGAATTAGGATCATCATCTATATCGCATGCATATTTCTTGTGAATTGTCTTGGAATATCTGTGGGCATGCATATATATTCTCTTCGTTCATAGCTTGGCACATAAGAAGGAGCTAATATAGGTGGACAAATTGAATGAATGGGTTGGGTTGCGTTACGTTACGTTGCTGATCGAAACTAACGGAGGGAGAACTTGGTTCAAGATCTACAAAGAGGAACTTGAAATGAGAGATAGATTCATTAACTGTGAAAGAGCTTAGCTTAGCTTGCCACAGGGCTGGGGATTATGAGTCTCAAGATACATACACATAATAGTTATTGTGATAATACATATAGTGAATGTGTTTTATATAAATTTTTGCATTTTCATAATCTCATTTCTAATTTATTCAAATCCAATTTTCAATCTCATTTTACACAAATCAAAAGCATTATACAGTATTAATTAGATTTGATGTTCCAATTTTTACTTAAAGGATTGTTTAAGGATTAGGGTTTAATTGAGACGAACCTTACGTTGTTCAGCTATTCAGGAAATTAGGTCTGTGCCACATCTCTTGTGGTAGCGGTCAAACATTTATTTTTCTATGTTAATTATGCACAACTTGTTGCATAAATACTTAATTTGACTATTGTTTTAAGGCTTTTGTGAAAAGGTCTCTAGGTTATTCTCCCACATTCAATTATGCTTGTTGGTAACTCAATGAATACTAAAAAATTTAGATTTCAAATTGTGAGCAGTAGTTAATTAGTAACTTTGGACCTTACACTGCACTATCAATTCTCTTCTTCTTGACTCTTGATGAATGGTGATGACTAATTGTTCTTGTAATCAATCACGGGATCCAAACTCATCTTTGACATATTTAAAACATATCAACTTAAAGTTATTAATTAAAGAAAGTACAATAAGAAAATTATAATATTCAAGAAAAAGAATTAATTTGACACTCATCACACATGTCAAGTTTATACATCTTTCCAGCATCATGCATGCTCAACTAAATTTGTTATTGAAATAATATTTTTTTTTTCTCGTAATCAATCCTGAGTGAAAACAAGAGCCTGTACAAGTTAGGAGTTAATGAATTCCTATAGGTATCAAGCACACGTCCACGGTGCTAAACGCAAATTTGGATGCGACAGTGGATATAGGAATTTCCAATATATCATGAGCCATTTAGGTCAGAATATCTTTTATTCATTTCTTCTTTTTTTCCACAACAAAATTAATATATATGATAGAAATTTTATTTTTTAAGAGTTTGCTAATCACTTTTATTTTGAAGAAATGGTCAAATATACTATCAAACTATACATTGAAATGTAATTAGGCCAGAATAATTTTTTAATTAGGTCATACTATACATTGTCATGTAATTAGGTCATAATTAACCCATAAGGGTAGCGTTTCCTATTTTGAAAAATATTTTTGTGCTTTTTCGTAATTAATCAAATAATTGGAAAGCCATGTATTTAGTCGGAAAAAAGTATAAACCGGATTAAAAAAAAAAATGGAAATGTAGTTCTTGGGTTATAAGCTGCATATTATATCATGAATTATGGTCCACAATGCGCATCGTCAATTGTTAATTTGTTATATTGTGGACTACTGACATAAGATTCTTTTTTAGTACATTGGATTATATTTTTATAGTTCATTTTTAGTAATATTGAAGGTTCGTTTTTAGATATAACTAAAAATGATCTTCAATACATTAAAAAATGAAATTTCGGTGTAATAAAATTAAACATCTATCAGTAGTGCACCTTACATAGTGTACCATTACATCATCTAGGTTGCTAATGAACTTATCTTGATGAGATGAGCTTAATCTAGAGTTGATATTTTATTTAAATATATAAAGACATTAATAAAAAAATTAAAGAAACAAATAACCATTTTAATTGTGTAAATTAAAAATATTTTGGAGTTCAGCAATACCATTTTTATTTTAAATTGACTTCATACTCG